TTGTAAACACACCATTATCACACTTCTAATAACATCTTTCTCACTAAGTATTCAGACTATACTTTCTCTCCCTGATCTTCTGCTTATTTCCTTCCATTTTATAACACGTTATCAGCACGAATTTGCTCCAAATCTGTGAAATCATCATCTTCCCAGCAGGTATATTTTTTCATGAATTTATCAGCTTATCTGAAAAAGAAAAATCAGAGGTTGAGATCAGAAGTACATAGCATAAACCTGTTTATATATATTAAAACTATAAGAAGTATGCTCTATGGTTGCCCAACCATTGGGATCCTCCATATCAGAAAATTATAGCTATGTTTTTCTATAAAAGAAGTTGAAGAAGATAGACTAAATACAAATCTGGAATTCTTATAAATATTCTATTCACGAAGTAGCAATTATATTATTATTAGACATATGATTTTACTTTTATTCAAGCTATAATACTACAGGAACATATATACATACCTTAAAATCAAAGCATTATCTCCACTTCATCCTCACAAGTACTTCGGTCATCTTCTAAAGAGGAGTACGTATACTGCTTATACTGCTCTTTATAAGAGTGAAAGAAAATATATACGGAGTAAATAGTATCATAGTAGAGGAGATATACGGAGTATGATTTTAAACCTAAAAACGAAAGAATTGATATATACTCCCTCCGTATCATATATATATTCCCACTTCTAAAGTGGATGAGATTAAGAATAGTGAAAGGAGATATAAATTATTGAGGGTATGATGGGAAGATGATGAAATAATGTGATGGAATGAAGGATAAATCCAAAAAAAGTAGATGTAATAGTGTATTATTTTTTAAATTATTGAGGGTATTTCGGGAAGATTTAGAAATGGGAAGATATAAATGTTACGTTCAAAAAAAGAAAGTGAGAAGATATAAATGTTACGGAGGGAGTACCATATAAGTACTAGCCAGGCCATGACTTGCTTAAACTCAATATATATATATACGAAGTAAGATCCAAGATCACGGGAATCAAATGAATATGGCCCTCTGTCACATGCAAGCCTGAAACATATCTGATAAATTATCTCTACACATTTAATTCAAAATCATAAACAAACAAAAAAAAAATGTGTCTGATAATAAATGCATAAGTTTGTACGTAGCATTTACTCTTGGGAACATTGCATGTAGATAAAAAGACAAAATTCTGCCAAACTCACATGGTTAACAAAATATAATTTATTAGTCACATGGTCAATATATACTCCGTAATACACATGAATCATTCATACATTCACATCATGTGTAACCAACCATTCTCCAGTATTACATTTACTACATGGTGTCATTTGATTATTTGGTAAGTAATTCATAACAAATATGAATAATAATGAGTTTGATATTATCCATTCCTAATTTCCTAATTATTTATGCATGTATCAAATAAAAAAAAACATATGCTCCGTATAAGGTTAATTAAAAAAAAAATGCCAAGTTTATTTCCAAAACCAAATTGACGGACTAGAAGCAATTGATGATTTCTTTGATTATAATTATACGATAGTATATATTACCTTATATATTTTCCTGATTAAATCAATACTTTTTGTAGTATTATGGCACATATGAGCAAAAGAGAGTTTGACGTCCTTGATTTATCTGGCCAAAAGTATTTGGAATGGAAAGTTGACGCTTTGGCACATTTGAAAGCAAATGCCCTTGAAAATACAATTGCTGAAAATAATTCAGCCACTCCCCAAAATAAGGCAAAAGCCATCATCTTTCTTCGTCATCATCTTCATGAAAGTTTGAAATCTGAGTATTTATTGGTAGATGACCCTAAAGAATTATGAGATAATCTCCAAGAAAGGTATGGTCATCAACAAAAGGTCCTTTTACCAAAAGCTCAATATGACTGGATCAATTTACGATTCCAGGATTACAAATCTGTAAGTGACTACAATTCTGCTTTGTTCCAAATAACATCAAAACTAAAGTTATGCGGACAAAAAGTCACCGATGCTGAAATGTTGGAGAAAACTTTGTCCACTATGCATGTTTCAAATGTGCTTTTACAAGAGCAATATAGACAAAAGCATTTTCAAAAGTATTCTGATTTGATATCAGTATTACTATTTGCTGAGACGAATACCGACATTTTGATGAGAAACCACAATATGAGACCCACGGGTTGTAGCCCGCTTAGTTTTGGTCCACCAAATCATGGTTCAAAACATGAATCAAATGCAACCCATAGTGGTGCTCGTGGACATTTCAAACGTGGTCGTGGTATTGGTCATTATAATGGACCTAGCCGGGGAAACAAACAGAGTAGTAGCTCATTTTACAAAGGCAAGGGTAAGCGAAACCGCCATCAAACAAAGAACCCGACGAAATCTTCAGAAAAGGCCAAAGTCACTTGCTTTAAGTGTGGCACGTCGGGACATTGGGCAAATAAGTGTCGCACACCTAGACACTTGATTGATTTATATAAATCATCTCTAAAAGGAAAGAATGTGGAAACTAATTACGTCAACGAAAATGATCCACCAATGCCCACATTTAATGTGTCTGATTTCTATATGGACGATAATGAGATGAACACCAACATCGTTATGGGTGAAAAATAATAAATAAGTAAATAAAAGCAATTTGAAATTATTCTGTTATGTAATATATTCTACAATAAAAGTTTGTTGTATTGTAATTTTTATTTGGTGTGCTTATTTCGATTGTAAATGTTATGTACATTTTAATGAATAAAGCCTTGTTTATATTACAGTATTGAACTAATATTTGTTCATTTTTATCTTTTCGAAGATATGGAGTTAACTAAAATTTCTCCAAGTGGCTCTGAACAATGTCTAATAGACAATGCCACAACGCACACCATTTTGAGACATAGAGATTATTTTTCTCATATGACATTAGTTGATGCTAATGTCAATACAATCTCAGGTGTTGCTAAACTCATTGAAGGTTCTGGAATAGACTGTGTGATTCTCCCAAAAGGGACAAAATTAATAATTAAAGACGCTTTATACTCCAGTAAATCACGGAGAAATCTTTTGAGCTTTAAAGATTTACGTCTAAATGGTTTTCATATTGAAACCATGTCTGAAAATCAGAAGGAATATTTATGTCTAACGATAAATAGATCTGGCAATAAATACATTTCTGAAAAAATGCCAGCATATTCCTCGGGACTGTATTATACATATATCAGTCCAATTGAGATAAATGTGGTATCTAAAATTTATGACCACAATTCCTTTATCTTGTGGCATGACCGTTTAGGTCATCCAGGCAGCACTATGATGCACAAAATTATTGAAAATTCACGTGGACATTCATTAACTAATGTCAAGATTCCACAATCAAGTGATTTTCCGTGCACTGCCTGTTCTCTTGGCAAATTAATTATCAGGCCATCTTTATACAAAATTGGAGTTGAATCTCCTGCATTTTTAGAAAGAATTCAAGGAGATATTTGTGGGCCAACTACCCCTCCGTGTGGACCGTTTCGATATTTTATGGTGCTCATTGATGCATCAACACGTTGGTCACATGTCAATCTTTTATCGACTAGAAATTTTGCATTTGCAAATCTCCTTGCTCAAATTATTCGTTTGAGATCACAATTTCCGGATTATTCGAAAAAGAAAATCCGACTTGATACTGCAGGAGAATTTACATCCCAATCTTTTAATGACTATTGCATGTCAATTGGGATTGATGTGGAACATCCAGTTCCACATGTACATACACAAAATGGTCTTGCCGAATTCTTAATTAAGCGATTACAATTAATTGCTAGACCATTATTGATGAAATCCAGATTACCATCATTTGCATGGGGATATGCTATAATGCATGCTGCAAATTTAATTCGGCTTAGGCCAACGGCATATAATAAATTTTCCCCATTACAATTAATATCTGGTAAAGAACCAAATATATAACACCTAAAAATATTTGGTTGTTCTGTGTATGTACCAATTGCTCCACCTTATCGTACTAAAATGGGTCCTCAAAGAAGGCTGGGAATTTATGTTGGTTTTAAATCACCCTCAATTATTAATTATCTAGAACCTATGACCGGTGACTTATTCACCGCGCGGTTCGATGACTGTCATTTTGATGAGACAGTATTCCCAGCCTTAGGGGGAGATATTAAAGAAATGGACCCACGTACGAAAGATATTACTTGGAATGCAACAAATTTATCTTTTCTTGATTCTCGCACAAATGCTTGTGAACAAGAAATTCAAAAGATTATTCATTTACAAAATGTTGCAAACCAATTGCCTGATGCTTTCACTGACTCAAAGAAAGTGACAAAGTCACATGTTCCAGCTATGAATGCTCCTTCTCGAATAGAAATTCTTGCGGAGATTAGTGAAAGAAAACTTGCTAATGAATCTATGATACGTAAAAAACGTGGTAGACCACTTGGTTCAAGAGATTTGAAACCAAGAAAATTTAAACAGCAAGTTGTAGTTTGTGATGCCAAAGAAGTTCAACCTTCTCAAGAAGAAAATGAACATTTTGAAAATATCGGCCTTGAAGATAACATCAATAATAATGATACCTCAAAAGAGGATCCAATCACCTTCGAAGAGGTAAATATTCCAGATAAAGATAGAAACGTCGATAATTTTGAAATTTCAATTAATTACGTTTCTAATGGAATACAATGGAATAGAAATGATATTGATGTTAACGATATATTTTCATATGCCATCGCCACAGATATAATGAATGAACACGATGACAATGAGTCTAAATCTATTGACGAATGTCGTCGTAGAAATGATTGGCCAAAATGGAATGAAGCAATTCAGGTAGAATTAAAATCGCTAGAAAAGCGTAATGTTTTTGGACCAATTGTCCATACGCCAAAAGGCGTAAAACCTGTCGGTTTTAAATGGGTTTTTGTGTGTAAACGCAACGAGAAAAATGAAATCGTTAGATACAAAGCCCGACTTGTTGCCCAAGGTTTTTCTCAAATGCCAGGAATCAATTATGATGAGACGTATTCTCCAGTAGTTGATGCTACAACTTTAAGATTTTTAATTGGCATGTCTGTTTTTGAAAGGCTGCAAATGCGCCTCATGGATGTGGTGACCGCATATTTATACGGTTCACTCGATACAGACATATATATGAGAATTCCTGGAGGCTTTAAAATACCTGATGCTTATAGCTCGAAATCTCGAGATTTATTTTCCATAAAATTGCAAAAGTCATTATATGGATTAAAACAATCTGGACGCATGTGGTATAACCGTCTCAGTGAATATTTGATTAAAGAAGGGTATAAAAATGATCCTATTAGTCCATGTGTTTTCATTCAGCGATCCGAATCAGGATTCGCCATAATTGCAATATATGTTGATGATTTGAATATAATCGGAACTCCTAATGAAATTGAAAATACTGCAAAATATCTCATGAAAGAATTTGAAATGAAAGACCTTGGGAGAACAAAATTTTGTCTCGGCATTCAAATTGAACATTTGAGAAATGGTATTTTCATCCACCAATCAAATTATACCAAGAAACTTTTGAAGCGATTTTACATGGATAAAGCACATCCTCTCAATTCTCCAATGGTGGTTCGATCTCTCAATGTGCATGATGATCCTTTCCGACCTTGTGAAGATGATGAAGAAATCCTTGGTCCCGAAATACCATATTTGAGTGCTATTGGAGCATTAATGTATTTGGCTAATAATACTCGACCAGATATTGCTTTTTCTGTAAATTTATTAGCCAGGTACAGTTCTTCCCCAACAAGAAGGCATTGGAATGGTGTCAAACATATATTCCGATATCTCAATGGTACAATCGATCTTGGATTGTATTTCAAGAATGGTGCAAATGCCACTTTAATTGGCTACGCGGATGCAGTATACTTGTCTGATCCACAAAAGGCAAAATCACAAACAGGATATTTATTCACCTATGGTGATACCGCTATATCATGGAGATCAATGAAGCAAACATTAACTGCAACATCATCAAATCATGCAGAATTAATTGCTCTTTATGAAGCAGGTCGTGAGTGTGTCTGGTTGAGATCAATGATCCAGCACATACAAAATGAATGCGGTATAAAATCTTTTACTTCTAATCCTACTGTGATTTATGAAGATAATACAGCATGTATAGCTCAGATCAAAGGAGGTTACATCAAAGGGGACAGAACAAAGCATATAGCACCAAAACTTTTCTCCGCACATGATCTTGAGAAAGACGAAACGGTTGATGTCAAACAAATCAAGTCATGCGACAACCCTACTGATTTGTTCACAAAGTCATTGGCACCGAAGAAATTTGAAGAACTGGTCCATAAAATTGGAATGTATCGTCTTCGAGATATATGTTAAATTGAGGGGGAGTAATATAATGCACTGCACTCTTTTTCCCTTCGTCAGGTTTTTATCCCACTGGGTTTTTCTTGACAAAGGTTTTTAACGAGACAGTACATTATAATACTATGAAACTAATACCCCAGAATAATTAGAAGATGACCATTCAAGGGGGAGTGTTGAAATATATTGAATAGTCATCTTCCAACTATTCATGATCAGGAACACTTATCATCATTGTTAATATAAATAAGAATTCATAATTATGATTTCTAGATGGTAATTGTATGGCTCACAATTAGCCCCTGATCTAGACATGATTACATTTTCTCCTATAAATAGGAGCATTCTCCTTCATTGTAAACACACCATTATCACACTTCTAATAACATCTTTCTCACTAAGTATTCAGACTATACTTTCTCTCCCTGATCTTCTGCTTATTTCCTTCCATTTTATAACATCTCACCATTAATCATGAAGCTTTGCTGTTTTTCAAATGCTCTTTGAAACTCTCAATGATTATTTAATGAGACTTTCGCCTCTTGCTATATATAACCCTGCGAACCCATTTCACCCCCAAAAACAAACATGTGAAGGTTTAACAAGGAATTGAACGACACGGTACTGTTTTTAAAATGAGATACGATGATGGATAGAAGGGCATAAAGACCTTTCTGATATTGATGAATGAGTCGGGAGTGTGCAATTTTCTTAGCTGTGTGAGGAAGATGGGGAAGGAAGGAAGTGAGAGTTGTATTTCCTGGAAGGTACGGTAGATAGAATATGGATGAGGTGTTGTTTGGGATTAGTAGAGGGGACATGGGGCTAGGCACGGGATGAGTAAAAAGGTAGTCATGGTTTTATTTAGGGAAAACTGTCAAATAGGTCCTCGAACTTTCATAAAAAAGTCAATTAAGTCCTTCTATAGGAGATTCTGTCCGGTCGTCACGATTTGGGGCGGTTCCCGGTGGAATTTTTTGATGAATTTTTTTGAGCATCTTATTCATCAAGTCTAGTTTACTCATACCAAATTTCAGCTAAAAATTTAATCGGGAGCGCATTCAAATTAATTCGAGAACGCAAAAATGTGCAGTTATCTTCAAGAATTAATTTGAATGTGCTCCCGATTGAATTTTTACCTGAAATTTGGTATGGGTAAACTAGACTTGGTGAATAAGATGCTCAAAAAATTTCATCAAAAAATTCCACCGGGAACTGCCCCAAATCGCGACGGCCGGACAGAACCTCCTATAGAAGGACTTAATTGACCTTTTTATGAAAGTTCGAGGACTTATTTGACAGTTTTCCCTTTTATTTATTTATTGTTGTTCTAAACCATTGTAGTGTTTTGTACACTACACTAAATGCTTTTGATGCACTAAAGACTTTGTCAAGTTTTTTTATTGTCTGAAAAAGATTTGTCATTGTTTGGTTGTCGATGGTAGTTCTTATTATTTTTCACTTTATATATAAGTGCACGTAATTTCACTTTCCATGTGTTTTTTAGATTTAACAAATTTCAATAGATTAAGTGAGTACAATATGACATGGAAAAGATGTACTCAGTAGAATCGACAAAACAATATGTAACCAGATATTAAAATATAAACATATGTCTGCTTATGGTCTGTCCGTTGAGATCATAACAATTGAAGCTTACAATTAATGTCACACACCTCTATCAAAAACTACTTACAAGTAGTAGATGTCAATTATGCCAAGATTATTTACTAGATTATTGGTTTGAATTAACACTTGGAATGAGCTACTTAAAAATTACGCCAAGGATATGATTCCACATTTAAAAAGCCACGTTTAGATCGCCACGCAGCACGCAGTGGTGGAGCTTATAGCTAGGAAGCGCTTGCCCGGCCTCAAACATATAGTTCGTAGTATATAGTGAGAATATAGTGATCTAATTTAAAACTTAGTGATTACGTTATATTTATGTCATAGTAAAGCGAAACAATGATTATTACTGTGCTCATTTGAAATGTAGAAAAACTACAATTACTCCGAAGAAGTGCCCATATTTTCACTACATGCATGTATACCCCCTATATTAAAACTATGCATATTCTTTAATATTATATTTTTATATAAAAAAAAATTGTTTCATAATGATGTAAAGTACAAGTACAAATATTACGGCTATGGTGAAGCCACATAGACTATATGACATATAGTGGTCATATTTATTACTCCATCCGCCCCTTTTTATTTGTTCTAATTTGACTTTCTAAATTATTGATTATAAACTTGGACCGGTTATATTTATACAGGATAGTATTGATAATATGAAAAATGATATGAAAATATTTTTTGTTATTAAAAGTGCTATCATAAAGTATAAATTTATTAAGTTTCATATAAATATTAGTTAAAATAATAAATCAAAATTTACCATTTTTGACTAGAAAAGTTAAAGAAAACTAAATAAAAAGGGACAAAAATAGTACTACCTCCGTCCCACTAAGATTGGGACGAGAGAAGGTGACATGATTATTAAGAAGTAGGTTTGTTTGGTTGATATTAAATTGATAAAGTAAGAATAAAGTTGGAATGATTTAGACCCACACAAAATCTTTACCAAATATGGTATGAGACAATCTTAGTGGGACTTCCCAAAAAGGTAAAATGAGACAATTATAGCGGGATGGAGGGAATATATTTTTGTGTTCGAACCAATCATGTTGGGAATGAAGATAAATAATGTCGAAGAATAATGTAAAATACTTGCACCTTCCATTTTTGTTTCATACTGATGTGTAGTAAAACTATCAATATTATCTCTACAAAATTATAAGCATGAATCAAGGTAAGGATATTTTTGGTATTAAAAATTTGTTGGTGGTACATTATAGCTTTATATACATGTACCGTGTGATTAGAGCATGGTACATTGTTTCGTCTCTTCAAGTTTGCTAACAAACGGTTCACACCTTCCGTTAGGAAAACCTCACAGAGTCACTACCCTCCTATCTCTAGAGGGTAGCTGAGATGCCGCTCACAACCCAACCCACCCGGCCCAGAGGATGCATTCACACCAGGGTTCCGCATCAGTGTTCTTTCCCTTCATCTTCAGTGTCCGGGTAAGTTATCCTTTTTTCTTTCTTTTAATGTCGATTGGCACAAAACAATAGAGCAACACAGATCTCACAATATAATTTCTATCACCATTTTCTAATATAAAGTCAAAAAGATAGAATTCCTTGAATGGTACTACACAATTCCTGTAGCCCCTTTCCATTATGTTCGATTGTGGCACAGTGAAATACTGGAAGTGGTAAGAGGGGAGTGGTATAAGTTTGCATTTGAGTGATTCTGTTATACTGGTTTTTAACATATATAAGTTTAAAGCTAGCCCTTCATCTTACCCACTTCAGCTAAAAGACACCTGCTACTAGAGCTCTTTCAGTTATAAAACTATATCAAAAGTAGTTTGTTACTCTTTCATTCTCTTCCATTTATTCATATCCTATTTATATTTGAATTCATACCCGAATTAAGATAACTCTTATTTAAATTAGGAGAATTTATATCTACATTAGGATGCTAGACCATGCCTAGCTCGACATTACTATCCTAGATTATGCCTAGGTCAGTGGATGATGTGAGGTATATATATATATATATATATATATATATATATATATATATATATATATATATATATATATATATATATATGAACAGTGAAACCATAGGGACCTGGGGCCATGTAGCTCTATTAATGGAAAAATGTTGGATTATTTGTATATACTTTTTGAAACATACCACACTAATCAGATAGAGCATTTACATCATATGTTAATACAAAAGTAATGTTGGATTATTTGTGCAAAAAGGATGACACCCCATCCCTGAGGGTCCCCCAACACCGACCGGACGGCACGATGGGAGGATGTAAATTGGACTATAATCACAATCTGACAGATAGATAGTGGGGCTCTGTCCCCGGTACTTGCAGAGGCCCTATGCATTTTTCAGCATAGTAACCCCTCATCGCAGATGCCGAGATTCGAACCCGAGACCTAACCCTTGTGGCACTCCCTCGCTACCAGTTGAGCTACGCCCACCGGTTATTTGTGCAAAAGTATGAGTGAAGTGTATATCAGAGTGTGACATTAACTTTATACTCTATACTATATATGTGTAAGGTTTCATTTATAGTTGCCTTTCTTTTAGCACTTTTCATGAGTAAACATATATGACTATATATAATACGGCCCTTTTGCAAATCATTTTCGTTTTAGTGGTTCTAGCTTAGCTTATCTTTTCTTTCTAATTCAAATATTTAATATACCAATGTTGTTCTGCTCGTATGGTTTTTTTTACAAGAAGGTTTGGGTAGCATAAATATTTTGACATCTAAATTCAATTGGGACTCCATTAAAAATGCAGAAATAAAAGGTTACTAATAAGATTGATGAACTTAAAGACCGGTTACTAATAAGTTCTTTGATAGATCTGCATTTATATTGCCATGGCAAACACAGTGTAGAATAAGTGTCATTTCACATAAGTTCACCAGACATAACTCATAACATTGATGAGCTTATCTAATTTGAGTTGCTTTTAGAACTTCCTTTCATATTTAGTCTGCCCTGATTTGCCAAATTCAGAAAGAAAATATATTCAAAGGCTTGTTGCATCCATTGAGAAAGATTTTGTCAAGGAATTTCGTATAGAAAAGGTTCCTTTTTTAGCTTTATTCATTTTTTCTGGTTAAATTAATTTAATCTCCTTACTCATGCGTTAGTTGGTTTATTTCTATTTTGTTATTGAACTGCTCCAATGATCTAAATGTGTTGTGCTGGGTCGTGGAACTGCGCTCAAGGACATTCCAGCTGGTATTTATTCTAACTACATGGGTACTATCTACACCTACATACCTATCTATTGTAATAGTAATCTTGAATAATGGGTCATCTCAAACTCTCACCTGAAGAGTGCCAAACATTGATTTGCGTTGAGCGTTGATTTGGTGTCTTCTATGCATTCACAGGGATGCCCAAGATTATTTTTTGTCTTTTTCCTTTTGACCCAGCAACCTATCATGCCATAGGGATGCTAGGATTATCCCTAGCTGCTTTATCGGAATGCCATATTTTGGTTTTGTGATATCTTGGTTGCTGTTGATTTGGGCCATAAAAATATTTGGGTCACACTTTTTCATTTGCAATCTCACCAGAAGTTTATGATTCAGTGGCATATAAATTATCCAGAAAGTAGATGGGTGATATTTTCAAATTTCTACATACAATTCTCTTTGGAAGGAGAGGAAAGGTGACTTTCCAAGTCTTAGCTTGTTCATCCTAATGTGATTTAGAATGCATTAAATGTTGGGCATAAAAGTATAATGGTAAGTGGACAACTGCCTGTAATATTTTACTAAATATATAGATTAATTATTGGCTTCATTTTTGAGCCCCCAGCCCCCAATCCCCATGTAACAAGAATAATATGCAGCATTTCCAAGCTGAAGCTATAAATTACTTGTCTCCTACTTGCTCGTTGTTTTCAAGCATTTCTTCTTTCAGTCAGTTTATGATAATCATGTTTTTACATGGTCTTGCTTATTCCTGTTTCTTTAACTGGTCTTTATATTTACAGGCTGCCAATTTAAGAGTCATTTGTCGCGGTTTTCTGTTTTTGTGTGGAACGAAAACGTGGTAATGAGTTGCTTTGCTGGAGAACTGTCATCCCCTTTATTAATTTAATTTTGAATTGCATTTTTGAAGTGGCAATGTGGTACATTAATATGATAAATTTCTCTGTAGGAAAAAGCAAAGGCTGAAGTTAAAGTAAAATTTGACATGTTAAAGAAACTGAAAGAATTTTTTTGGGGATTTTGTGATGTGCTTAACCTACTTGTAGCTAAGACCACATCAAAGAAGGTTTGTTGACTTTATCTTGCTTGATAGTTCTCTGTAAAGATGCAAATAGTACTTTAGTAAAACTCCCTGCCATTTTCAACAATTCCTTGAAGTTTTTGTGCTTTAGACTATGATGTAATGTAATGCAATGGAATGAAGTACGTAATGCAATACAAAATGCAATGTAATGGAATGAAGTTTCTATTCCATTACTATGTTTGGTTACTTAAGTAATACGGAGTAACAATTTTGAAACGTAATCACTATTACATGATTATTTTTGTTTATGTATGTGTAGAGTTAGAAAAGTTAGTGCATAAGAATGATAACCACAATTCGGAATTAAAAAAAATAGAAACAAAAAAAACATGAATCCGTTAATGCATGCTCTTCTAGAATTGGACAACTAGCCAGAATTTATATCTATTGGACAACTGCCCCAATTCGGTACAAAACGATTAAATAAAAGTGCCGCACAAAGATGAAACTGCCGGCCTGCCCGGCCAACAACAAGCCGCGGTTGAAGCTCTCGGCGGTAGGCTAGCAATAAGCTTGTAATCTCAAATACACAACTTTTTCAATGTAAAGCTTATTACATCTATGAATGTAATGAATTCCACACATACAATGCTCATTATATTACGGTTTTAAATAAAATGTCATACCAAACATCGTATTCGAATCAACACGTAATACTCGTTACACATACCAAATGTCATACTAATATTATTGGAAATGAAAATAAAAAAATGTTGTGGAATAGTGAAATCTTTACACATTTTCACTTTTATTTTAAATTCATTTCATCAAGTTTATCCTTCTGCTATGATACATATATGTCCCATTAAAGCAGGGGCTTAGCTAAAAGCACAATTTAAGCCCTAGCCCACATTAAATTTAAATTCTAATAAAGTTATTAAGCTAAATGAAATCGTCAAAAAAAAAAGATTATGTATCTATTCATCCCAGTATTTTGTAACATTACTCCGTAATAAATTATTTCGTATATTCCAATGCACGGGTACCATACTAGTAGACGATTGTACAACACCATTTGACGCCTTTTAAAACACCAATAACAAAATGGATTCTTCCATAAGCATACTAGTATTGCTAGAAATTGATCATTGTTTCTGCAGATAAATGTTACCCCGACTATATGATGAGATAATAATTTTCACATTAACCATCTAATCTATCCTCGTAAAGCTAGACTAGAAAAAAATACTCCCTCCGTTCCAAAATTAACTTCTCACTTTCCCCTTTTCGGGCAATCCCGAAATTAACTTCACACTTCAAAAGTTTCCTTATTTGTCAAATATTCTACATCAAAAAAGTGTCAAACAGTGCCGAACAGTGTCCAAATAGTGTCAAACAATGTTTAAACAGTGCAAAACAGTGCACTTCACAAATAAAGTCAAATTTATTTTCTTAATCTGTGTGAAATCAAACTGTGAACTTAATTACGGGACGGAAGTAGTGGTGGACTGAACCGGGCCGGTTCGGGCCTCGGGCCTAGGCCCGGCCGGGCCTCGGTTCAGTAATAGCAGGCCCGAGCCCGAACCGGGGTAGGGCGGTCCCGGGTCCGGTTCCGGGCCGGACCGGGCCGGTCGGGCCACCCGGTTTAATTTTTTTTTTTTTCCTTTCTCCCCCCCCCCCCACCCCCCACCCCCCCCAAACCCCCCCAAACCGGCCCAAACAGATAGCCCAAGCCCAACAGCCCAAAAAAAATGAAAAAAAAAAAAAAAAAAATAGATTTGGCCCGGATCCGAGCCCGAATCGGCCGGGCCGGGCCGTCAAACCCATGAACCGAGCCCGGAACCGCCCCACCCCCGGGCCGCCCGAACCGGACCCGGACCCGGAAAACCGGGCCGGGCCGGGCCCGCACAGTAGCGGGCCGGGCGGCCCGAACCGAGGCCATGCCTAGACGGAAGGAGTAGTAAACAAAAAATAAAACTGCAATGGTAATCAAACTGAATGACAACAATGAGTCGTAATAATAGTAATAATAATACCTCAAAAGAATAAAAGGAAACTCTTGTTCATAAATAATAGAAGAAATTCATTGGAAAATTAACAAGGTTCTCTAAGAGCCTAAGGGTGAAATTTAGGACCGTCATTATAAAAACAGACTGATACAGACTGATACAGTATTCATTTTCAAAACATACCCAACCTTGAAAGGTTTTAACCACACCAAAAGATATCTTCCCATCGGTGGAAATCCATGAAAGGTTTCAACCACACCAAAAGATATCTTCCCATCGGTGGAAATCCAATGACCTCTATCTATAGATAAACACCATCATTTAAAGAACGTACCCAATAAATGACAATAACATTTTGTAGGGTGTTGATCCGCTAAAACATTGAAAGCAACTGGGATTTCAAAAGTGTCAAAAAGATAACCATTTTCACTACCCTATCCCCACCTAGTTATCACGCACGTCTGGACCTTCGCCGAGTAGCTGCTGTTTCTTCACTCTGCTCTGCCTTCTCATCGGAAGCTTCTTCTTGACTGTTTGAGCTCCCAGCAGCATCGCCCTTCTTGGTTTCTTCAGCGGATTTAGTTTGCTGCTGAGAAAAAATGTCAAAAAAATATATGTGAATGGAGAGAATTTAGTAGCAAGTCATATTTTAAGGGGAAATGTCCGATTTGTACATATCTACTTTTGTCTAAAGGGTCTACTTAATAACTCTTTGACAGCTAAGTTTTTTAGAAGGCTATTTTACATATTTGCCAAGATATCAATTCACCTTAGGCTTAGGGTAAGCCCTATTAGGAAATAATTAGCTTTACGGTTTAGTTAGTCCTTGTAGGGTTTAGTATAAGCCTTGGTAAGATTTATCCCTTCTAAGGTTCAGTTTAGCCCTTCCAAGTACTATCTCTTTGTATATCAATTTTTTTAACAAATTTGATTCAAGTGCTTGTGACTTTGTAAAGTTTTTAGCATAGTTTATGAATATGTAATTTTTTTTTGAAAAATAATTTGAGTGCAGACAGGGATCCGATCCGTTTGCTTTAATGTTAGTCAAACATCATAAACCGCAATGGTATCATCAAATTGGGACGGAGGGAGTATTAGTTTAGCTTTCCTAGGGTTTAACAGCTCTTCTATGGTTTAGCTAGAGTTAAGCTAGCTCTTCTAAGGTTTAGTTAGCCCTTACCGGGTTCAGATTTAGGAATTTGGGGTTTAATGTGTTGGTAGCTGTGCGGCGGTAGTTACATCTGTTGTGGCAGTGGAAGTGATTCGAGTGGGTGGCAGAGGCAATGATATGTTTGGTCATGGCAGCCTTAGTTTTAAAAGGTGCGAGGCATGAGGCGTTTTCATTGAATTTAGCCGAGGCGAAGGCCCGCGCCTCACGGATACCCCTACGCCTGAACTATATTTATGCTACTTTATACCCAACTAAAACTTATATTAAATGACCTAAAAATGCCATAAATCATGGAACAATGTTAGCAAACTTAATAAAGTTCAAAAGGAGAAACAAAATAAATATTCAAGTATAACAATCTGCCCTAAACATCAGGCATTATAATGTTCTAATTAAGTACTCCGTATTAATCATGTATAAACCAAACAAGGTTTAGAACCAGAACGGTGACACCAGAAAAAGGCTTCACTTTGATTTTTTTGAACTATTTGTGGGAGCATAAAAGAAGGGGAGGGCAAAAAGGCACAGAAAAGCATAGGGAAAAGACAAAGAGATTAAGAGAAGAAGAAAAGATCATGAGAAGAAGAGATTAATAGAAGAAGAGGAGAAGGAAAAAACCTTACAACTTTACAAGTTATATGATATTAGTGACTTCGCGTAAAGAAGAAAGGGGCAGAAGAGTGATATGTGATATTATTATCATACTATCATACTAAAAAAGAGTTGGAGTTCTGATGGAGTCTGAGGACTTATGAAGTGCAGGACTAATCTTTAATCTACCTATGAAAACTCTAGGCCCAGCCATGAGTCAGCAGAACTCAAACAATTAGTCAGCAAAAACTAGAAACACAGAAGGTGACCAACTCTTGAAGCGCAAAAAGCAGCTGGAAGCGAGGGATTAAGCGCGCCTACAGGAACCTGCTGTGCCCAGGATTCTTGTTGCGATTTTCTAGCGACGGGGTGCGCCTAGTCACGCCTCAGGCGCACTTCTTTAACCTAAGGTGGCACTGTGGCAGCAGTGATGATATGGGCAGCAGCAGGGCGATATGTTTAGTATATTTACTACAATAGTGACCAAATTTTAAGTTTATGATCCTTTAAATCTAATTTGGTGTTATTATACAAAACATGTCTTCAAAAAAAGTGCTGCTTAGTTGGCAATTTTTCCCTTAAGCATACTTTTGGTCAAACCCCCTATATCTAAAGCCATAGGAGGTGGGTGAGGCTGGGGGACTTTATACACTTAGGATATGCATCAATTAGTTCCATTTACACATTCATTCAAGCTATTAAAATTACATAAAGAAGAAAAAAGTTACTACATGTAGAGAAGTGAAATAAAGAACATGTTTCATCCTGTTTGCATGGCTCCAATGGGATGTGAAATCTAAGAATATAATTGTCTTTACCATCTTTTTCCCCAATCCTTAACATTTTCCTAGGTTCAAACATATTACATACACATAACCTATAGGAAAAGCAAAAGTAGAAATGTGTACTCACAGACATTTGCTTCTTTCCACCAAAAAGAAGCTTCAATAGTGCTGTTAGGACAATAACTACAACAGAGAGGACAAGTCCAATTGTGAGGTTAGGTTGTTTCTCCGCCTTCTCAAGTAAATCCTGAGGGATCCATAGTAATAGTATTATTAGCAGATGACACATATGTGCTGAGAACATAGGACTGAATATGAAACAGTAGAGTATGCTTGTTTACCAATAATTTACTCTTATGATCACCCAAGAGGGAGAGGTCAGCAAACTTATAAAGCTGGTCAAATATCACTTTCTGCAAATATACAAACCAAAGGTGAAATAAATAAGCCAATGAAGACATACATGATCATAGACTTAAAGTCAGTGGCTATCTAAGTCAATGGATAAGTTACAAAACCAAAGGAAAATAAACAAGATTAATTGTTTACAGTGATATATTTACATTTCTTAGTCTTCATTTGGAAATATATAAATAGTATGAATTTGAACAACAAAAACACCCAAGCCTTATTCCCAAAAGATTTTGGGGTCACCTAACATGATTCGATCCATGATAAATAGTACTCCCTCCGTATTTTTTTTGTTTGCTACAATAGGTGTTGACACATTTTGTAAGAGTGAAATAGTAGGGGTAATGAATAGTGTAAAAAAAGTAGGAGAGATGGTGGAAAAGTATGAAAGAGAAGATAAAAAGTAGAAAAAGTAAGGGTAGTTGAGTATTTTTAAAGAAAAAACTTGCCAAAAAGGGAAAGTGTAACAAACAAAAAAATACGGAGGGAGTATGAATTTGAACAAATGTCAAAAATGAATGTAGAGTGTCGGTATATCTCTTACTATCTACAAACTTTCTTTCCATCTAATTTTTTCATTTTTCTTCCTACGGAAAAAATAAATGCATAAAGATAATGCTGGAAAAGAATATATTAACCTTGAAACCTTTGAGGCCATCAGAATCTGAATCTTCCTCAGCTTTTTGTTTCTCCTTCTCAGCGTCAAACTTAGGCTTCCATGCATTCTTCCTATAATATTCTGCAGTTTTTTCATCACCAGCAATCAAGATGTTGTCAAACAAGATTCCATCTTGCATTGTCCATATCTCAATTCCGACTGCAGCAACAGGTTCAAAGTTGGGACTATCGAGTTCAAAGTGATTAGGGTTTGGGATATCTCTAGGCTTCCAGATTCCCTTGTAATTGGGGTTGTCAATAAGGGGAGCATGCCATTTTCCCTTGTACGCTGGGTTCCGCTTTGTTGGTCTTCTCCACACCCCACAACCAGGGCTCTCAAGACATTTAGGATTGTCAATTTTCGGTGCTTCCCACTCACCATCCTCTTCATCATCCCAATCTTCAGGTTTTGTGGCTTCAGGATCATCAATCTCCTCAGGTTCATCATCCAACCACCCTTCAGGCTTCTTAGCTTCTTCATCTGGTATCTCCATGGGTGCTTCCTCGTCCCAATCATCTGGTTTCTTTGCATCTGCATCTGGAATCTTTTCCCTCTCATCCCAATCCTCTGGCATCTTATCATCCGGATCAGCAATGGTCTTTGAAGGAATAAGACTTGGCTCGAAGTCTTCATCAGAGAGAAAGTTAGCTTTCTTTTTCTCTTCTCCATCAATCAAGATGCTCACTTCATTGTTGGGTTTTATTATGGCAGTGTAAACATGGGTTAGTTTGTCAGAAGGTACGGAAGGTGGGAACTTAAGATGGTGTTCAACATACTCCGCAGTCTTTGGGTTCTTGTGTTTCAGAATAAAATGAACTTTGTTAGTGCCTCCACATTTATCTGGCCCAAACATGATAGAATAGGGAGACTCATTATCAAATTCCTTGGCAACCCACTTAGCATCTTGGGGGCGAAGATACTTAATGTAAGCGCCACCACATTCAAGCCCTTCCTGGAAGCGAACTTCATATTGGAGAACAACTGTTTCATCTTTGAGATTGACAGCCTCATCAAGTTCCTTGACAATAGCATATTTTCTAGCCTTCTCGCTCACAAGAAGCCCATAATCCTCATGCCCCTCACTCTTGGAATGTTTCCATATGCCTGACAATAGAGAAGAATAAATGTAATTTCTGAAATTGTAAGGATATTCTCACTGAAAACCCACAGGATGAAACATTTCCTAGACAAATTAAAAAATAGGCACCAGAGTTCAATGTTCAATATATGAATATGAACAGAAAATCTATAAACGCACATATTTAAACAAGCACGTATATTTAAACAAACTCATTTATATTAACTCAGAAGTTTTTTAAACATCAGAAAGTTTGTGAATATGTTTAATATAATGCTCTGTATCTACTTTTGAATAATGTCAACATTGTAGGTATTTGCAGTATGTGGCCAGCAAAAATTAAGAGGGTTCTAAACTTTTAATGTTGGCTGGAAAATCTTGTAGAAGTTCAACAGCATTTGTTCCAGGTAAATGTTCAAGTAAGTTATACATACAGTGTAATTTTAGGCATCATCGATCGAACTAAATAAACAACATATTAGCTGAGTTAATAAAGTAATATACAATTATGTAATGCACTCCCCTGATATCAAATATTCAAAACAAATCCCCAGATATCACGTCCAACCATATTAGTCATGAGCTACGTGACCTACGTCAGCTAAAATAAACTACGGAGTATTAACTCCACCATGGGAATAGGTGAATTCTATCCACTGGGAACCATTGAGATCAAAATACCGTGCAAGAAAAATTGCATGCTCATCCATTAACATATACCAAAGATCGCGAAAAAAAACCTACCTTTATAATCCTCTTTGTCAGATACTATCCATCTTCCCTCGAATGAACCATCGAATGACTCGTAAAATTTCTATAGTCAGCAGAGTAGCCATATCAACATTTGAAATTAACTAGATCTAAAAGATATATGTGATGTCTAGGAAACGCAAATATAAGTAATGAAAGTATGGCTTACGACATCAGAGGAAACGCAGAGCTTAGAGAGCAAACAGCAGATTACTAGTAGCAAGACGGCGTGCGGCCAGATCTTCCGCATAATCTCTTCCATAACTAAAACCAGAGCTCAAATGATGGGATCTGAGAGACGAAGCTTCAAGGATCTCTATTAGAGATGAAACAGAGAGATTATAAAGCGGTCTCGAGAGAATAGTGTGGAGTTGTCTCGGCCAATGGTGTATCTGGCCACGTGAAGCGGACCAATAAGATAATGCCACATCTAAGTAGCGACGCTAGAAAATAGTGGGGTGAAAGGCACAGATAAAATTAAAAGGGAAAACAGTTAAATGGACTTGGAAAAGCGGTCAAATACGCCTACCAAATTTAGGGCTGAGCACCGGTCCAAGACCGGACTGGACCGGAACCGGTTGGACCGGAACCGCAATCACCCAAAAATGAGGACCGAAGACCGGACCTAAATTAAACCGGTCTAGGACCTGACCGGACCTGAAAATTCCGGGTCAGTCCGGACTGGACCGGTAAAGACCGGAATTGGATATTTTCATCATCACAATTTGCTAAATGCATCATTCGAACAAATAAAAGAACTAGCTCCAGAAAAAACATAATCCATATAAAACACGCTTCGTATCAATCTAATTGATGTAAAAAACTAGAAGTCATAAAAATGATAAAATGAAAACAATAAAATGACCCAAGCTCCACTCAAATAAATATAGAAAAAATTAAAAGAGCAACGTGCATGACAGCATGAGTCTTCAATCGTGATTCCAAAGTATGTATATTGATTGACTTCCTCCAAAGATTAAGACACAAAAATGGTTTCATCTTCTACTTTGTCCAAATCTGTAAATGAAAAGAATATCAGTATATTTATATGTATATGTATATCACCGAATATGTTATATGTATATGTTAATGTATATCAGTATATTTATTTATTACCTTTTTCGAGTTTTTCTAAATCCTCTAGACATTCTTCTACATCAACCTTGGCTTGATGTGTTGCTGCTCGAAGCCAATCTTGACCACATATAAGAGCTTGTACCATCTTGCATCAAAACATACAAAAAATAATTAAAATATAAATTAAAATCTCTAATTTTAACATGAAGTAATTTTTAATAAAAATGGAACTTTTATCTTGGGTGTCAATGAGCTCCTAAATTGATCCAAGTGGCGCCCTCCTGCACTAAAAGCCGACTTTGAAGCAACAGTAGATATAGGCATTGCTAGCACATCACGAGCCATACGTGCAAGGATAGGAAATCTTATCGCATTAATTCTCCACCACGGTAAGATTTCTTTCTCTTCATCTTCTCCTCTCTGTTCATTCAAATATCGATCAAATTCACTTCTTATAAAGCTATTTGATCCACTCATTTGCCTCTTAACCTGCTCCTCAATGTTAGACATATACCTCAATGATGTCCCCCCATTGATAGAAGATGAAATTGATAGTAAATCACTGTTGTCAGCTTGATCATCGTTCATGGGAGCATAAATTTTTCTATACTCGTCAAACATGCTATAAGAAAATTCTTTCACTTGTTCTGCTAACTTTCCTCCCTTTTCCTCTCCATACATGCCACAAAGAGCAATTTTCACCCCACAAAGAGCAATCACAGCCAAATATATCAGCATGTTCATTTTCTCGATAGCACCCCAATATTTGTCATACTTCTCCTTCATTTGAAGTGCCATTTTTTTAAAATCAGCATCTTTACTTTTCACCCACTCATTCAGCAAATCATGTGTATGACAAATATGAAAGAAAAGGGAATTACTTGTGACATATAAAGATCCAGAAATACGATTAGTCAAATCATAAAACTCCTTTAAGAAGACAACAAGTTTTTCCACTTTATTCCACTCTTCATTCTTTATAGGACCTAACTTGTCATGATCCAAATTTTTAGGGAGTTCTATGCGAGAGAAGACATTCCTGTACTTCAAAGCAGTTTCTAACATAGTGTATGTTGAATTCCATCTAGTAGGCATATCAAGAGTCAACGAAGATTTGCAACCAACCTTACACTTTTCAGCTTGTTCATTGAACAAAAGTAACCTTGCAGGGGAGTTTTTCACAAACTTAACAGCAGCTCGAACTTTGTCAATATATGATGCATGATCCTTCAATCCCTCCCATACTATAAGATTGACAATATGTGCAATGCATCTCATATGTAAATAATTCCCCTCACTAATTCCACCACTTTTTTGCACCATGCTTTTCAAGTAAAGACATGCAATATCATTAGAACTTGCATTATCAACAGTAACAGTAAAGAGCTTACTACCTAAACCCCAAGAATTCAAGCAATCCTCAACAGCTCTACCAATAGCTTCCCCCTTGTGACTAGAAATTGGACAGAAATTGATAATCCTCTTTTGCAATCTCCAGTGATCATAAATAAAATGTGCAGTGAGACACATATAATTGATTCTCTGGATAGAAGTCCATGTATCAGTAGTCACACACACTCTTTGACATGATTTAGTGAAGAAATTTTTCAAATTTACCCTCTCTTGAGCGTATAAACCATAACAATTACGTGCAATAGTAAACCGGGAGGGAATGTGAAATTCGGGCAAGGCAACAGACATAAAATGCCTAAACCCAGGCTTCTCAACAAATCTAAAAGGCAACTCATCAATTATAGTCATATATGTCAATGCATCTCCTACTTCTTCCAAACTCACTACCTTATATTTCAAATTAACTTCTTGTTCATTGGTTTCAGAAGGTTCAAAGGATAAGTGAGATTGTTTACCTTTACTTTTGTTAGCAGGATTCTTAGTGCAAGATTTCCGATGTCTGCCCACATTTTTTGATCCATTTTTATTAGAATCAGCTGCAAAAGTTGCTCCACAGAAGTTGCATTCAGCCCTTAATCGATTTTCAACATCCGTATATTCAGTGAAGTCTGGCCAATACTCTGCCGTCCTTTTGCTCTTCCTCAAGATGTACCGACGTCCATCCTTTGGCTTCTTTGTTGGATGGTCTTTATAAGTGGGAGGTATGCCACGATCTTCAGCCGGTTGAGCATCTTGCATTTCCCCATCTAGATCATCCAATGATGGTTCTTCTTCTGCTTCATGCAAAAGCATAGCACGTTTTCTACCTTTCAACTGGGAGCTCATCTTTAACAAAAAAAAAAATAATAAATAAATTGTTATCAACTAATATCTATAACTCAGTTATAAGATAAACTAAAGAAAATAAACATGTGGGTTAAGATTAAGTGGCAGATTAATTGCAAGACATGAATGGACATATATGCATGTTACCACTTGCAGACATCTTTTCTATCAAAAAACTATAAGAGTACAAAATAGATGTGGAGTGCGTATATACTTCGTATATGGCATATGTGGTAGATGATCTTTAAACAAATTAACAAAAATGTTGTTGTGTGTGAATCTATATGCTGATAAGGGCTAACATGGTGAACCATGACTACTAAAGATTATTAATAAGCTTGAGAGTCCAAACATACCGAGGGAGAAAAGAAGAATAAAAGTATAAAACTGTGATTGATTGGAGTTGCGCTAAAGATTACCTTCAACTTGAGTTGCAAATTGCGATGGAGCGGAAGGTGGAAGCGGATGACAGGCTGCGTAGTCGAATAAAAGAATGAAATAGGTTAGGTTAATTAACTGCATACGTTACACAGTGTGCACCGCCGCAGGCCTCTGGACTTTTAGCTCTGTTCACGCATTTAGAAATTGTTATTATTATTAAGTGAAATTAAATTGTTTTTTAATTAATCCGGTCTAACCGGGTCGGACCTGTTTTTTCCGGGTTTGGACCGGACCGGACCGGAACCCTAAATCATAAAAATAGTGGACCGGAGACCGGACCGGTATACAACTTTCCGGGTCCGGTTCGGTTCGGTCCGGTTTTCCGGTCTAGACCGGAATATGCTCACCCCTACTACCAATATAATTGTGAATACATCCCCTACTAAAAAAAGTACGGGAGTATCGCATAAGCTCTTTCAAAAAAAATCACATCAACCAATTTATGGGATGATGACTCCTTGCATGTAATTGCAATTTTTTTTTCCATTTTAATTACTTGACCATTTGCTTTCTCTTTCCTCCTTGAGGCTTAGTCCATCTCTCAAACTCCCATGCACCCTCCTCCATTAATTGTTCTCTTACTTTTTTTAATCATGTAGAGCACAGTGAAGAAACACTCCGGCCACCTCATGTGGCGGAGCAGCAGTTTATCTGCTTCCAGAAACAAGTACCGCCAAGCAGGGCCGGTCCCGAGAAAATGTAGACCCTGTGCGACAATAAAATTCGGGCCTTTTTTCAAGTTGCAACACAAGCAAAATGTCTTAAAATACAAATTATCAAATTTATTATCTTAAAATACAAGTTACTAATAAATGTAATGCTAAACACACTTAAGGGCTGTTTACTCTGAATGGAAAGAGTGACTTATTCGGTCAGCTATATACTTGTGTTTACTAGGGACTTATTTTAAAACATCACTTATTCGCTCAGACAGTTTTCAACTTACCGATTCAGCGGAAATTCTACAGTCCTTACCGCTCAGACATACGCAGGTATCCCTTATCTCTTTTTTAACCCTTATTCTGTTCATCGCTATCTTCTTCTTCGCATAATTTCTCCTACGGCTGCCAAGCTGCGCATTTCATCTGCAGACAGTCTATCTCTCTCACCGCCGACGGCCTGTGCATTTCATCTCCATCTCCAGCTCTCAACCCCCACCTTCTCCATATCTACCTACAATGAAGTTTAGAATTTTTGAGTAAATTCACAACTTTTTTTTATTTAGGTCAATCTTTAGTAATTTAATTTAATTTAACTTGTTCTGCATAACCCGAACTAATTCAGATCTATAGGTGTTTGTGTTAAAAGTTTGATTTAAAAATCTTAGTGATAGGCAATAATACTCAGTTTACTCTCATTGCGTTATTTTGTGACATTTCAAGGTATTGGACCGTTTAGTGGACATTAGAGGTGTACGTGTGATTTGTTTAGTTATGTTTGTAAATTTTATCAAATTGTATATATTTTTGTGTTTGTTGTTTGTTTTGCTTAAGGACAAGCAAAAAAAAAAAGCCTAAGTGTGGGGGATTTGATGTACTTATATTTTACACACTTTTTAGGCTTAGTTTGTTGTTGATTTTCGTTATTAAAGTTCTACATTTGTACATATTTTTATTATTTGTCGTTAGTTTGTACTTGTGCAGTCCTACACGGGTATTTTGTATTTCAAGGTACTTTTGATACTATTTGGATACATTT